AAATTAGGGACGGCTAGCGCAGATAGTCCTCGTGTAGCTTTACGCAAAATTCAAAAACAAACAAACACTATCATGGAATTAGTAAATCATTATTAAGAATGGTTATGAGCGATGCTAGAAAACGTAAAATAATAACACGCCATATATTTGCTTTTGACTTTTCGAATCCAATTACGTAGACAATATAAGTTAGAGCCTGTGCCTTTCTGTCATCCATTGAGATAAAGCTGGATTGGATCGTTTTGAACTTGCTGCCTGATGAAGATTAACACTGCTGTGAAGACCGCATGCTTCATTAGAGAATGTTGTTGACCACTAGGTTTCTGGAACCAGTAGGGCAAACTATTTCTCATATCAAGCCCCGTGCAATCCGCTACTCAATAGCCTATTATATTTACTTGACTTAAAGATTCAATGTTAATCTAACAGTCAAAATAGTAACAAAAATAGTGTTTCAAAATCAATGCTGTGTCATCTGAACTCTTTACAGAGTGCTATTCAACATTGTATCATGTAATTGGTGTATTTATTCATTTTAACCTACATTGCTAATTTAGCAAAATTGCGTGATAGAAGGGAGTAAATACAGATACCATATAAAGAGATTCTGAAAAAACTATAGATATGTATTTCAGAGGCATTACAGGTTATACAAATGTAATATGCAAATTGTCCGATTCACAAAAGTATTTTTATTCTTCACATGCTCATCACCTTGCACTCCAATTTGTCAGAGTGAGTCACACTAATTCACAGACATATCTTGAGTACAAATACCTATGTAACTAATATTATTTCTTGTGTACAACAGACTTGTACATTTCGCCAAGAGATTGCCACATATTGTGTATCTACACGAAATTTAAATTTGGAATTGCAGTCAAGACTTCTTCTCTAGTGTCTTTTGGATCAAATTTATCCTTCAATATTTCTTAATTGTGCATATCTTTATTGGTCGAAACCATTTCTTCCTTAAACATGACGATTGCCTCAGATTTATCCTTAACTATCTCTAAATTATGTGGTAACTTCCTTGATCGAAACCCAAGGGATACATAGGTTCAATACGCTTTAATAAAACGATTTTGGAGTTTCACCAAGTAGTTACGTTGTATGTCACCACGTCTGATAATGCTATATTTGACGACTATGAAGTCCATTGCAAAAGACTCCGTCGTGAGGCTGTCATTTCCAAAGCACACCACCCTTCCTTCTATGTTTCCACAGACCATTTTGTATACGAAGACGACAAGCTAACATTTTAAACGTCTGATCTCACAGAAATCTATAGGTTACCGTGTCCAGTGAATTGAATGTGATGACCTCGTGTGAAATATTATGAATGCCCATTTCATTCTCCAGTTCCATGATATATGCAAAGATTCGAGGAATGTGTCATGTAAGTAATTTGTACCATGTTCCCAGTCGGTGATCCTTCTTGATTATATTGCGTACTATTACCTGAAGCACGTGGATGACTTTCGCCACTTACCTTTGTGTTCGTGTATTTTCACCTATTACTAGACACTGCACTTTGCTTAACACGACTGGGGGACGACTTTTTTCAGGTCTCTTTCTAAATCATCCTGTTACATAAAGTTGATCCACATTCCTTAGTTTTCAATGTCATTAAGTACAAAGGATATTCCCTTTTTGAAACATCGAAATCACTGATTTGAGAACAACAATATGATCTTAGAGTATGTTTATTTAGCGTTGGAAAGGACTGTTACATACCTTGCCCAAAATTAGTATCATGTGGCTTCGCACTACCTACGAACGCTGTGTCACGTGACTGATTTATTTGCATATTCAAATTAGTTTATAGTTCTCTAATTTCTTTAAAATTTGAATGATGTGATAAATATTAGAATCCATGAAGATAAAGAAAAAACAGAAATATAAATGTTTCTCAATCTGAAAATCAAATGAAATTATTTCTTAAAAAACGCAGAATAGGCAAATTTGATATTCAACTTTGAAAGTCACCATTAAACCCACTTACCAGATTACACCTTCGTATTTTAAATGTCACTTGTATCAATATAACATAAGCTCTACAAATACCGTAACTTAGAAAATAGTATTAGTAAACGGCCAGAACCGGAGCACCTATAGGATGTTTGTTTTTACGGCTTCCGCTTTTGCTATGCACGGAACCTGTCACTTCCTTTAGTTCGTATATTTAATCTTATGCCAAACGTAGGTGAAAAAAAACAGGTAATTCTTGAAGAAACTGGAGAAAATGTCAATATTTCTAATTTACAATTATACTTACAGATGTCCAAACTTTTCGATTTTATAGTATGATTTCATAGTTGCTACAGGAAACAGTGTAACTGTCACCTTTTAAACAAATACTCTAGCCAGTTTTTGTTTTTGTTTAGTATACGTGTAGTAATCACATTTCTTTAAATAAGGTTTATCAATTACTTAATAATAGTCCCATGATTCTGTATATTGAGATGTAAACATACCAGCTTTAATTGCATCAAATTTAATTGTCACTGTAACCCAACAGCTTTATTTCACAAAATATCTACACATCTATATACTATTGTTTAAACTAAAACATCAGTTAATGTTTTAACAACTCTGTAACGGCGATTTTTTCTCACTCGTATCTTCGATGTGACTTCTTATGGACATGAGTATCTAATACCCGAGTAAACTGTTATCAGGTCAGAACTCGTACCCAAATATATTGTCAGTAGCCTCTCGATGTTCAGCAGGAAACTCAAAGTCTGTTGTGTAGACGGAGTGTCTCGAAGCTTCTTTCAGACGGCTGAAGTTTTCATCAGAATGTGTTTCAATAGGTAACCGATAGAGGTCTCCGTTGACACCATAAAACAGAGGCGCATCTTGACAGTTGAAATTATACCACCAGTCACACACTCTCAGCTTTTGATTAAAAATTGAGCCATTTGGACAAAGGTAGCTAACTTGACGACGATCCAACTGGCAGAAATGCCACACCTGAAATAAAACTGAGTATAATAACCATGCCTTTCACAAAGACGTTAAACCAGTGGTTTCCAAACTGTGTGTCTGTCGTGGCAGGTTGCTAGGGGTGTAGCGAAAGTTTCACCAAACGACGAAGACTTATAAACATAAAAAACAAACAAACAAACTACAAACACATACTGCATGTGACACGCAAATCAAAATACAAGGGTTTGGGTGTCGTCAATGGTATTGGTTAACAGCGATTGGTTGTTAAACGCAAAGCTACACAATTGGATGCCCATCACGAGTATCGAAACCTAGTTTATAGCGTTGTAAGCCTGCTGAGCTACATGTGCTGTTTCCATCACGAGTATCGAACCCTAGTTTATAGCGCTGTAAACCTGCTGAGCTATCTGTGATGTGCCCATCACAAGTATCGAAACCCAGTTTATAGCGTTGTAAGCCTGCTGGGCTATTGGGGATGAAGAAAGTTTGGAAACCACTGTACAAGGAAAACTGTCTATTATCTGTTTCAGTAACAGTTTTGATTAATAAAAGCGTCGAAACACCGCAGATAGTCTATTCGGTAATTTTGCTTTAAAACAAACATAATACAAATAAGTATTTATTTACATAATTATGTAAAACGAATTTTCAATCAACACTAGAGGAATTTCACAAGAAATAAGTGTAAAGATTAAGCTGATATCCTTAATTTTATTTCAAAACTACGTTTGATTCAGTACATCTCTTGAAATATTTACACTCCAACAGGCTGGCGTAGAAATTTTTTAATAAAAACGGCATTATTTTCTACATACGTAAACTTTCTGTCAGCGCCCATACATTCGCGATACAGACTTAGGTTTGTTTTGAATTTTGCACAAAACTACTCGAGAGCCAACCTTCTCTAATTTAGCAGCGATAGAGGAAATGGATGGTAGCTAGTCAACACCAACCAGCCCCAACACTTAAGCTACTCTTTTTACCAACGAATATTGGAATTGAACATAACGTTATAACGCCCCCACAGCTGAAAAAGTAAGCATGTTGAGTGACGGGGGTTCGAACCCACGATCCTAAGAGTTGAGCGCCCTAATTACAAGGCCAAACTTTCATAATACAGTCTCCGGGAAGTAAGAGTTAACTTACAGTATACAGTCTCTAGGAAGTAAGAGTTAACGTTCAGTATACAGTCTCTAGGAAGAAATAGTTAACTTTCATAATACAGTTTCTAGGAAGTAAGAGTTAACCTTCAGTATACAGTCTCTAGGAAGTAAGAGTTAACTTTCATAATACAGTCTCTAGGAAGTAAGAGTTAACTTTCATGATACAGTCTCTAGGAAGTAAGAGTTAACTTTCATGAATAAGTCTCCAGTAAGTAAGAGTTAACTTTCAGTATATGGTTTCTAGGAAGCAAGAGTTAACTTTCATGAATAAGTCTCCAGTAAGTGAGTTAACTTACAGTATATGGTCTCTAGGAAGTAAGAGTTAACTTACTGTATACAGTCGCTAAGAAATAAGAGTTAACTTCAAATATACAGACGTTCACTATACAATATTAAGGCAGTAAAGGTTAGTGTCGTGGGTGTGGTCTCTGTCTCTTGACAGTAACAGGTAAAGATCACTATACAATATTAAGGTAGCAAAGGTTAGTGTTGTGGGTATAGTCTCTTGACAGTAACAGTTAAAGATCACTATACATTATTAAGGTAGTAAAGGTTAGGGTTGTGGGTATAGTCTCTGTCTCTTGAGAGTAACAGTTAAAGATCACTATACATTATTAAGGTAGTAAAGGTTAGTGTTGTGGGTATAGTCTCTGTCTCTTGAGAGTAACAGTTAAAGATCATTATACATTATTAAGGTAGTAAAGGTTAGTGTTGTGGGTATAGTCTCTGTCTCTTGAGAGTAACAGTTAAAGATCACTATACAATATTAAGGTAG